TCATGTAGGACAGTGGAGATCTGATTTTAATCAGATTGGAATGTAATCAAAAAGGGTGCTGGAGTAGATGGTGGTTTTGGATAGTATGCCAAAGTACATGTGGTGTATTGGATTATAATCACTACATGGCTGATGAATAGTTATGTAGTGTGTTTGATTGAAAAGCTGCGTGTTAAACTGTAGACAAAATTATTAACATTACCATTCCTGTTTTTCCCAAAAATACCCATTCGACCCTCATTCCTCTTGCCAATTTTAAAATTACTCCAGTTTTGTACCCATAAACACCATTGCGCCCATAATACTATTCTAAGATTAAACTTACGTGCAATTTAGCATAGAATTTCCCGTTTGTCCCGAGAAGTTCTACCCATTTCAACCTTTAGTAGAACGTTAATTCCCTACAATGCCCTAGATCGCCCCATATTACTACTGTCGTCAGGTTGTCTTTATCACTGCAATGATAACACCGTGTATAACTCTTTTTGTTTGTTCCTGAGTAGTCAGCCTTATTTCCTAATTTCTTATGCATCAAATGTATAGAAAATGGCAATTATTCCCCACAAGCTTTGCTTTTGTGACCAAGACAGATACTTTGAAATTTACCTATTCACTAGAATATTCCAAATAGATTCATTGCTGAGTAAACTTGGTGTAACTTATAGAACTTTCTATAAATAGTAGTATAAATACAGGGGCCTTAATCCTTTAGCATACCAGATCAGTTTTGTTCCAGCTACCTTAGTGGATTTATATCTGCATTTTTCTGAGATGGCACCAAGAGGCTGGAAGCATCCGCCACACGCATTTTGCTATGTATGCAGCCTATTTATCATGACAAGAGCGAATAAGTACTCCGTGGAAGCATCTAATAATATGTGTGAGGCAAACAAGGCATATTTCTCCATGCCTGTCGGGGATCAAGACTAACCCTGGGCACCTTATTTCACCTGCGAGCACTGCAAAAAGAATCTGGAAGGTTTGATGCACAAACGTTGCTATGAATTTTATGTTTTATAAATTTATTTTAAAATTTTAAAAATTGCAAAAGGTTTTAATTTTAAAATGTTTTACAATTTTCAATGTTATTATAAAAATATATCACATATGAAAAATGTTGCGAGAATCCCTTGCACTAATATTAGTCATGGGTGATATGTGTGTGTGTGTGTATTTTTGCAGGATGGTACAGAGGGGAAAAAAGAGAGCCATGAAGTTCGCTATCCCATGAATCTGGCGGGAACACACTGACCATTCAAGCAACTGCTACTTCTGCATGGTGGATCCTTCCAAACGTCGTACTGGCAAGAACGCACATGCTACCACTTATCTGGACATTCTTTCATCCATCGCCACGGTACCACACTGTCCTTAGCTCCCCGTACCCATTCCTCCAGAGAGAGAGAGAGAGAGAGAGAGAGAGAGAGAGAGAGAGAGAGAGAGAGAGAGAGAGAGAGAGAGAGAGAGAGAGAGAGAGAGAGAGAGAGAGAGAGAGAGAGAGAGACGTCTTTAGAAGAGATCAGAAAGTCAGCGAGCGAGGAATACGCAGTAGATCCAGATGACAATCTCAGAGGAGGAGCCTTGGAGAGAAACAAATACTACCCCAACCCAAAAGACATCAACGACTTGATCAGATATTTTGGCCTCATCAAATCCAATCCCGATCTTTTGACGTCTAGGCTCAAGTACTGGAACTTGTTGGATGAAAGTATGCAAGTCGTATATCAGAAGAAGCGTCAACAAGCTTTTTTTTCCCCAGCTTCTTCACCCGTCTCGATGGGCTATGTTCCTGCCACAGTATGACCAGTCTGTTCGAGGCAATCGGAATCGCCTGTAACCAGAATAAGAGGCGCCTCTTCATTAACAGCTCATCCAGGAGCCTCAAAGCCATGCTGCTCCCGTCTCTTCCCCTGGTTCACTCAGTGCACCTCAAAGAAGATTACACCAGCATCGATACCTTGCTGAACTCCTTGAGATATGATGAAACTTCAAAATGGCAGCATTCCAGATGGTCTCCAAGGCGGTTTTTACCAACTTTCCCTTCTATATTTGCCTTTGGGACAGCAAGGATACCAAAGGCGGGACTGGCTACAATGGACCGATTACTTTGCGGGGTTGAACAACGTCAAGTGGGGGCTAACGGTGGACTCCCAGAAGGTGCTGATGCCACCATTGATATGAAACAAATTGTTAGAGCTCTAGATAGCGAGTTGACAGCCTTCAAGTACCTTCAAGACTTCTTCCTGAAGCTGTCCGAGGCAAAGATCAAAACCTATGTATTCGTCTGTCCACAGATAAAGAAGATCCTGAAGTACAATAAATTCCCAAAGACGCTCGCTAGTAAGAAAACGCGGCTTGGAATAGTTTTGTCGCAGTGGTTCGGGGCTTCCTGACCGAAACTAATTGGAGCTGGTTGAAACTCTGGTGAAGTACTATGGCACAATGGGCTGCAGGATGTCCCTCAAAGCCCATATACTTGACGCTCATCTTGATAAATTCAAGGAGAACATGGGAACGTACTCGGAGGAGCAAGGCTAGCGCTTCTACCAGGATACACTGGACTTCGAATACCGCTTCCAAGCACAGTATCGAGAATATGATGGAAGACTACATTTGGGCTCCGATTCGTGAAAGTGATTTACAGTATTATTGTAAATCTCGAAAAACTACTCACTTCTAAATCTTTTTGGGTCATTTTTGTATTACTTTAGTATTGATACATGTTAATTTTGATTCATATGTTGTTTATTTCTGACTTTATGTGAACGAAAAGACACACATTAGCCCGTTTTGTAATAGGAATTGGGTAAATTTCGAAATATCTCAATCCTGGTCATACAAACAAAGTTTGTGGGAAATAATAGCCATGTACTACACCTTTTAGGCATAAGCAATTATTAAATAACATTTATAACCCTGGAACAAAAATTGTGTTACATAGTGTAATAATAATAATAATAATAATAATAATAATAATAATAATAATAATAATAATAATAATAATAATAATAATAATAATGTGGACTTTGCACAGCGCCTAGTTTGTAAAAGCCATAAGCACTTTACAATACTTGATAATGCATAAAAATATACAACGGCAAAATTACAAAAACAATTGCCATGAAATTACAAAGCAAACACTAATTCATGCTGATGATAACAAGGATATAAACATTATTAAATTGTGATGTCTCTTCTTGTAGTCGAAATAGGTGGGTTTTAATAGCACTCTTGAATGAAATCATAGTTTTCTTGTGTATAAGATATATGAGCTATTCATTCTACTTTGCTGGGCTCCAGTACGCAAAAAAAAACCGTTGTCCTTTATATTCGACAATCAAACCAAATGGAAGCCGTTTATGTAAACAGTAAGACAGAAGCCACTGTCCTTTCCTGGTTTAAAGAAAAGTCAATATTGAATAAAAAAAAAAAAAGATTTTGTAAAAAAAAGTGTCGCCTGCATGTAATATTTGCAATGTCTGGTTATATATATATATATATATATATATATATATATATATATATATATATATATATATATATATATATATATATATATATATATATATATATATATATATATGAAAATAAAAATGAACAAATAAATAGGCGTGACTTTTATATACATGTGCTCGAAGAGGTGAAACTCCTAATTCAGAGCTTATCAACGAAGGCGACATACATACATCACGTCTGTTGTCTGCAACCCTCAATCCACAAAACAAAAATATTTAAGTAAATAAAATAAATAAATTAAAATAAAATAAAAAAAATAAAATATGACTCGCCCATAAAAACTCGCGCCATTAATAGTAAAGAAACTTCTCGTTTGGTCTCAAACGTGATCTAAATGACAGTGTTAAAAAAATCTCCTGGCGAAAGATCAAGTTTGAAATAAAAAATTGATGAATGTAATAACTATTTTTGATCGTGTTTTAAAATATTCTTAATGATTTTCGTTTTTAAAAAATGGGGGCGCGGGTGCAAACAAAGAGACGGTAACCGAATACTATATTAACCTTAAATTGATTATATTTGCAAGAATACCACCCTCCCTCCTCCCCCAAAGAAAAGGTCGCTTGAAATTTCAAGATGAATTCTCTTCAAAGTTGTATGCCATGATCAGCTGTATATATTTTACACCTTACGAAATGTTCCAGCAAATTTGTTGGATTGGCAGGAATTCAGATTTCTAAAGACTTGTGATTAAAATAAAATGTTCCTCTTTACCTAAGAAGCTACATGAATTCCAGGTCTGGTAGTCAATATGTCGTAAAACTCTTGAAGTCAAAGACTGACTTTTACTCGCAGCTCAATTATTGTAAATTATACTGACAAAAACTGCATAAAAATATGCAACAAAGAAAAAAAAAATAAAAGATTTCATGAAATATTGTTAATAGCTTTCGACATATATATTCAAATGACCACACTTGTGAAATGCCACACATATTATGGAATTTGCACCTAATTTATGTAGTCCGAGTTTCCTATGACCCTTAACACCCCGTTTATGATATTTATTGTTTTTTTTGTTTTTTTTTTTTTTTTTTTTTTTTTTTAATGCTGGGGTGTAGGTGTTATGCTTGTAATTTCTGAGAAGATAAATTATTTCCCTATGGGTCAATGTAAGGTCATTTAAGTTTGCTAGGTCTGATAATGGGCGAGTAGCATATGCCGTCGGCGAATTCCAACTTTTTGATAGGGAATAGACTCTGACCCTACACCCCAACTAGTCAGAGTTTCATCTGACCCTTGACACCCCATTTAACATTAAAAAAAACAAATATCAAAAATGGGGTGTCAAGGGTCAGAGGAAACTCGGACTAGTGCTTAGCGGAGCTGGCGATCTCTGTCGTTGATAACAATACTGTTTAATTTGATGTATTTTCAATATGCGGATTGTGAAAGATACTGACGTTGAATTTTAGTGACATGTTTTTACTGTAGATGTGGTGGGCGTAGTGAATATTTACCACAGAAAAATAGGACAAAATGTCTGCCCCAGGTGAGGATCGAACTCACAGCCTCCGCATATCTCTTTCTGTGATATACACAGGGAAGTACTGTCTATAAGTACGGCGCGCTAACCGATTGCGCCACTGGGGCTAGACGACTTAGCGTTTCGTTTACAAAGTATATATTCAATAATGCCTAGTATAGGTTGCTCACAATTTCGTGAGTTATAGCGGAAGTTGTAGATAGTATACGTCACGAAACAAATATGGATGCCTCCTATATACGGTAGATCAATATTCAACAAGAAATACTCAGTATTGAGACTCTACGCAATATAAAGTATAGTAAATACAGATTTATGGGCCTGATATTATGTTTATTATAATAACTTCAGTTTATTAACCCATGTAACGTTTTTCAAAGTTAAACGTGTGAATTCAATTACATTCAAATTTGATGACATGTCAAAATAGTTCATCAAATTTGATGACATGTCAAAATAGTTCATACATGATAAACATTTTAAATATTTAAACTGATCCTTTTGTTGATTGAATGGGGCATGATGTTTTAAAATTTAATACTCTAGTATTCTCACACCATCCAGTTTATCTGCACCCACCTACCGATTTTAAAAATAGAAGATCTCGAGGATTAGACCAACAAATAGGTCTCTGCTTTTCTATTTTTATATTTGACAGCTGCTGTCAGATATAAAAAAAGCAGAGACCTACTTGTTGGTCTACTCGAGGATATAAACATCCAAAAAATTACAGTACAACTAACACGGGCCATGTAGGCATATAAGGCATTGCACATGGTTTTGTTTTACTTACTTTTTCTTATTACCTAAATAATGGCCTTGTATTGAGTTTTCCTATGTCAGTTGACATCAGACTGAGTAGTCATCAGACTGAGTAATCAAAGTTACAGGAATATGTCAGACACTTAGCAGCCCATACCAACACCCTTTCATTTTTATTGTGCTGTCTTTATCCTAGTGGAATCAAGATATGACACTTTCAAATAGATCCATTTTCATTTTCCATTGGCATACATTTGAATTTGTTGCAATGCGATGGTAGCCTAGGTACACCAAAGTAGGTTCATGGGAGATATGTTTCTTGAATGTAATGAAACATTACTTAAAGTTCCAATAGACAATATATTTTTATTCCTTTCATTAACCTGATATTGGCATTCCAGCTTTCATTGCTTTCCAGCCAGCTGTTTTGGAGGTCATTGAAACTTGAAAACTATTCCAATTCTTTTTTGAGAATTTGAATTTATTAGAGAAAAGATATCAGGGTAAGTAAAGTTGGACAAAAACATAACTTTCCTTTGTTGAAAAGCTACATTATTGGTTGCCAGTTGTGTGTGATTTTCCAGAAAATTTGACTTTCGTTACACGGTTAATCAACATCAAAACATGCAACACAGCACTGTTAGTTAGGCAGTAAGACCCACTGTGATGTCACAATGAAAGCTACGCATATTGATAAACAAATTCATACTACCCATGATTGTGATGATTCCACTCAATGCCCCTTATTTTGACTCGAGTTTAGTACATTGCTACTATTGCAAAAGTCCATAGCGAAGAATAATTTTATCTGTAAGTTTCTTGGAGACAGTTAACTCATTAACCACTGCTGCCCCAATAACTAGTCACACTTTTCCTCCCTCATCTCCCGAGCGCCTCAACAGCATGGCAGAGTTTACCTAGCTTGTATCCCAGGTGCTGAGTTTGAGTGGCAGTATATGTCTAGGCTTATTTCCCACACGATGAGTTCAGTCGTTGCAAACCATTGGTTGATTTCAAGCCATTTCCTAATTATGCAGGCAGTTGAACCAATAAAATTTTAGCTTACATAGAGAGAGTAAATACTGCTGAACAAAAGGAAAACAATTTGACTTCAATAGCAGCAGAAATAGTAAAGATATTTAGATCTGAAAATGATGCAAATTGACCAGAATCAGCCATTTGGAGCAGACTTTTACTTGACAGACTATGACAGAGAATTTTCATGATTTTCATCGGAAAAGATTGATAGTGACATTGAAATAGCCATTGATGATAACAGCGAGAGTGACCAGAATGAGTTCAAAGTTAAGTGTTTTATTAGCTTTTAAATTTTCAGTGAGAATTATAAGGAAGAAAGGTAGTTCAAGAGCAAGGAAGATATGTGCATGTTTGAACAGTATTCACAGGAGTTTAAGTTTACAAGAGAGATGACAAGTGGAATTTCTGTGTATATAAAATATAATTATTTCATGTGTGTGAATTCCTATTGGATTTTGTGAATTATTCATGGCAAGAGAAGGATTTTGATAAGTACATCATTTATTTTCACCATTTCAGCCTAAATAAATAAATATAAATAAAATAATATATTTACTGCAAGTAAAACCCTCTTGAAAAATATGCAAGCCAAGTGCTATGAGCAAGTCTCAGGGATACAGGTACTGGTAAGACTAACACTGGTCTAGGTGATCTCTGTAAGTATGCTGTAGGGCAGTGGTGTTCAAACATTTGCAGTTGTGGACCTCATAGCATGTCATGATCAGATGGCAGACCCCTATCAGCCTATCCAATAAATTTGGCTGATTGACATTATTATTATTTTATGTAATCCTTGTAAGACTTCAGTAAGTAATAGCCATAGAATATAATAGTCAATACAGAATAGAAGGCTCAATACTCAGTTGTTTTTATAATTGTTGATGATAATTAAAACTTTGCAAATATACTTTTTTATTCTTTTTTGGGACCTGCTTGTGGACCACATTTTGAAAATCCCTGCTGTAGGGGACTGCCTAGCAATTTGGTTCAGGGGTTAATGAGTTAAGGTGCAAAGCATTCAGTAATCAGGATTGAATAGACTTTGGTTAAAGAAACTTAGTGTTAAGTTTGAAAAGTACAATTTATATTTTAATTTACAATGAGTAAATTTGCATACATGACCCATGTGGCTTGTACTCTAGACTATTTCATTTATTGATTTATAAGTTCTAACCTGATTGTCACTAGGGGTCCCAAATACTAAACTTGTTGGTGTTTTGAATCAAAATGGAGTTTCTTTAGCAACATGGTGGCCATATTTGCTCAGGCCAGTCTGTGTTATCAAACACATGTGATATAGTTCATTGTCTTTGAAAATTTGAATAATTCCATAAATTTTTAATTGGCATCATATTTATTTGTTCAGTTTGTCTTAGAAATATTAAAAGTAAACATTGCAAATACTGGATGCAGATGATGCAGTTTTTACTGATATAGACCTTTCAAGAAACCACAAATCCCAATCAGTCTGTCTGTTTGTTTACATCCGGAGCTTCCTTTTGCATCAAAATACCAATTATTTGACAGTGTTAGGGACCCTTGGAGATGGTAAAGTTAAAAATTAAAAATTAGTGAATGAAATGACTTATTTTTATGTATTTTTTTTATCTTTGATGCTTTCTGTATTAAAATTGGTATGAGGATACAAACAAATTAGAGGCTATGTGAATAGTATAATTTTGTTGAACTAAAATCTGTTCAGTCCTGATCATTGAATGCACTTCACATTAACTGTCATCAAGAAACTTCTAGATGAAAATTATAGATCAACATTGACTTTACATTGGTGGCCATGTACTAAACTGGGAAGAAAGCATGTCAAATTTAATCAACACAATATGTAGTAAAAGTCTTGCTGGACATATGGGCATTCAACACTGACTATTCCAGTAATGGGCGTCATTCTTTAAAATTTGACTCTACATATCTTTAGGTTGATCTTGTCCAAAAATGTCCACATACTTTAACAATGATTTTGCTGTATGTGCTATTTGGGTATGGAATATGGATGTGTAAGGAAGCTAATAATGCAAATAAATGCCATTTAATGGTATAAGGAATATAAAAAAAAAAAAAAAACATTCAACAAAATTGACAAAAGAGGTAGGAGTATTAATAGTAGTGCTGGTCCCTGTCTAGATCTCTCCAATTAAAAGCACAGTATTGCTAAAGATGATTAAATTTGTAAAAATATAAAAATATTTAAGACTAAACTTTAGAATTTTAATACCAAAACTCTCTCAACCATTTCCACTGGAAGTAATAGGTTGTAGTAATGCTAATTCTGCATTTTTCTAGAAGTATTTGATGTACCTCTTAGTGATAATAGTTTTTTTCCCTATTAACATATAAAATGGCACTGCTTTATGTCCATTTTGTTGCAGGTCTTGATGTCCCTTTTTTAAAACATACTCTATTTTTGGGGCCTTTTCCCCCAGCTCTGACAAATCTTGGTGTCAAGCCCCTTCCCAGTTAATGAGCTTGCTTTCATTATACTTATAATCAAGCAAAAGGGTAAGTAATGTACACTTATTAAAATATATATGTTGATTTGGTGGATGCTTTTATGTTATTCTTCCTCTCTAACTAAATTCTGAGTCAGTTTAGTACATTTTGTAAATGGGTTGGTAAATCAGTGGTTGTAAAAACTGAAAAGAAAATATCATACAATTTATTAATCAATATGTATATAATGAAATGTATGTGAAGTTGAATATCACTTTGTTTTACAATGCCCTTTATATGCAGATTATAAAAACAGATTTATACCAGGAATTATTGGCAAAAAAACCCACCCATGTGAAGAAATCTTATATTCGCTGATGAAATTTAAGAACCCCGTCATATATAAACTTAGCAATACATCTTTTCAGCAATCCACAGAAGAGATTAAATGTACATGTAACTATATTATTTTTTTTCTACCAACATGAAAAATGACAGTTATGTAATCATGTTCTGTCTCATCTTCCTAAATATTTATTTTGCGTGTACTGGATTTCTTTTTCCTTTTTCACCTCACCATAGTATCAAATAAGTAAAGTTCCACATATTTGTTATCAATGTTTTAGCATTTTTTCAGTTGTTGAGTGAATAAAAAAAGTATGGGTTTTGATGAATTTGTGTAAATATTGAATTTGCTATTCTGTCATGCATTAAAGATTTAAATAACCTGTCCATATTAAAAAGTTGACAAAGAACTTGTGAGTTTTCTAGACTGGTCTTTAGCATTACAACCATTTAATTATGAGGAAACAGGGAATCAAAAGACCTATAGTAAGTACCCATATGCAGTTTTTAAGATTAC